TTATGTCTATGTTATATCTAAATTTTCTAATTTAAAAAAATGGAAAATTATTGGTGTTTTCTTGCTTATCTCAATAACCCTGCAGCAAGACAAACATTTTGATAAAACCTAATTTTAATGTCTCTAGCTGCATTCACACATTGTCAAATCATAGTGTGGTTTGATTTTTTGGCTTAGCAATATATGAACCCACCCACTGTCATTTGTGAACAGCAGTTTAGGGTGGAACCCCATTTTTGCAGCTCCCAGATCCCCCCCAAGAGTGTGCCATTACCTTTTGATTTTTTAAAAACATTAAAACTGGTGTGTTAATTGTCCAGCAGGCTTAACACATCTCTTCTGAGTGATTCTCTCCCCAAAATTTCAAAATAAAAAGGACCACAAAAAGGCCCTCAGAGACTTCACCATGTCCCCATTACAGCACCTTCAGGGCTTGAAAGCTTAGTTTTAAAAGAAATGCACAGCATCTTCAATTCCCTAGTTTAATTAACCAGGGTTCTGGTTAAAGCCAACCATAGCTTATTTCATTTCCTGCCAACTATGTGGCTTTCACAATCTCACGGTCAACCATTTCTCTGCCCTGTTTTGTTTTTTGCAACTTCATGCCTGATGAAAATCTTGAAATTCTTCTTATTCTTGTAATCTTTGAGTTAGCCTACTAAAGTTCTGATCCTAATGTGGATTTTGGATTTACTTTTAATGGTTTTCTTTTTAAACACAGTTGTTTGATTTTACTATCATTATAGAAAAACTATGAATGTTTCCTTTTCCTGGATCTGCTAAAGAATTCATATTAGACTAACATGAATCATGCACATGTGACAAGAGAAGCTGCTCTTTCCGCAGCCTAATCAGAAAAACCTGAATAGGAACTCTACAACCTGTAAGTTGTTGTTTGATGAATAGGGACATTAACTCTTTTGCACATCATTAAACCTAAGATAATTGAAATGCCAATGGTGGGGGAGTGTAAATAAAAAAAGTTATGCAGTTGAGTCCTGAGCAGGTAGAAAACAAAGTCAGAGACACATCTTATCTAATGCATTATCAGAAGTGCAAAAACCCTAGTTTTAACTATGATTTAGAAAAACATTGGTTTCATATATTGGTAAGAACTGTCATTATCCACAGATAATCAGTTACTGATTTGTTTCCCTTATATATGTATGTATGTATTGGATTTATAAATCAAACTCCATCAATCAGATGTTTCAATTACATACAATAAAATATAGTTAAAACCTCTCATAAAACATACTATTTTAGTTTGTTTTAGTAGCAAAAACAAAAAAGGAAGTAAACTTTATACGCTCAAAACAAAAAGTTCTTTGGATGGCTTATAAAATAAATGCAACATTAAAATATACTCATAATAAATACTGTGGACTAACTCTTTTTGCTTTAAGCACAACTTCACTCATGCCTCTTGGAAGGACAGAGATGTGCTTCAAAAAGACATTCTGCACTGCACTGGTATTCAGAACCATCAAGCAAGACCAGGACCTACATTTAAATAAACTCTTATTTTATAAATAAACATAAATAAAAACACGTATTATATTCTTAAATGATCAAACCTTTTTCTATTGCTTATCTCTGAAAGAAATCAGATTCTCTTCTGACTTGAAATATGAGTGAGCCCCTTTCACTAACAAAGTATAAGATAAAGATAAACATTCCCTTGAATCCAGCTTGAGTCTTTCCAACTATCTGAAGACCTCCATGCAGATTTCTGGGCAGGATTGCAGAAGTAGTTAGCCACTGCTCTCTTCCGAGATGTTTTTTTCAACTTCCCATAGTAGCTTACACATCTTGGTTTTACAGTTGGTTTCCCATCCAAGTAGTAACCTGTTTAGCATTTTTGGAATCAGCCAAGGTCAGCAAGATCCTACCACCTGCTACAGTTACTTGTCTCCAAATGTTTGTAACTCGAGGTACTGTATACTATACATGCAAAACCACTCATTAAAAAATGACAGCTGTGAAACATTAATTAGCACCTCCCTCCACAAATTGTACTTCTATCCAAGACAAATTTGGAATTAATCTGAAAATCTTCAAATTATATTTTGACTTTCTTCAAAATTCTCACTTTATGCATGAATTTGCAGCACAGCAGCATGGGCCAAATATTAAACTTGACCAGCCTAGATTTTGTAAGGCACACTGCAGTAAAAAATGCTGTACTGGTCTTGATTCATTCCAATCTATTCATTTTACAATATGAGAGTCTTTAGCTACAGATATTTTTACTATAAAAAAAGACCAATTTCAATACCCTTGTGCTTTTTATACATGAAACCCCAGCTGAGCATTTTGGTTGCTTTGCTTAGATTTCTATCAAACCAGAATTGTTTACAACCTCTTTCTTAACTCATATGTTTTAAGTGAGACATATACATATAATGCATTTTTAAAATTCCCTTTTTCTTCCCTGAGTTCTTACCAGCCCACTCTTGCAGAATATTACCTCAATGATGGAAGCCTCAACTTTGAACATAATACTCTGTATTCACTGAACCTGATTTATATATTCTTCTGCATTATTATGAATGCAGTATGAGCAGTATAATTTAATTTCTGCCCTAAAGCTTCCTCTTTAAGAAAAGGAGGGGGAGAGAAGATTCATATACAAAACTACAATTAATATTCCCCTAAACAGGTCACAATTTTGGATTATTAGAAAAAGCAAGCAGGCTACCCTTTGCCAGCAAATAACTTCTCATAATGCTGGTTTATGGAGATAAAGACAGTTCTTGCAATGAAAAGCTTAAAACAGGCTTTTTGAGTAAGGGAAACTAAATTAAATTATGGAATAATGGTCAGTCTGAAGTCTTCTTGGAAATGTTGTCTTAAAAAAACACACACCCAAAGATGTGTTTTTACAAGGACAAACATCCCAGTGCAGTGAAGGATCTTTTCCCACACCAATTCAGCAGACCTCCTCCCCCACCACGATTACTCTCCAAATCCAGATTGTATATAAATATATACATATGTACCCAACATGCATTTTAAGCACAAATAATCTATTTCACTCAATGGCACGAGCATTATCACTCACATCATCGGCAATATCCAGCAAGTGCTTGTGACACTCTGCTGGCAGAAGCACGAACCATGTAAGTGTTAACGGCTCTTTGGAAGAAGAATGTACTTTGGGCTACAAAGTGTGGCTCATTCCACATCCAGGGGTTACTGGGAAGGGAATGATACCTCAGCCAAAGCAGAATATTTTTGGTCTGTGCACAAACCAGCAGGTATTGGCTGAGTGTTTGAAGTGCATTATGTAGAACTTCTGTACCACAGCTGGCTTAATCTCTTCTTATTCAACATATTTTGTGTTTCAGGTTCTTTTTTTTTTTTTACAGCAATTTCTCATTCATCCACACAACAATCTTGAACAAGAAGCTACTGTGCCTGCTACACTTTGAGTGGGAAAATGAGTCTGAAAAAAGAGGTTAGGCCATCTGCAGAGCCAATGATGAGCAATCCAGGAATGCAGGTGTCCTCAAGTCCAGGCATTTTACCCACTGAGCTTGGCTATTTCACTTAAAAATATTTCTGGTACCTTTCTGCAATGCCAGCCATTCTTTCAAATTAACTGAAAATGTCTTGCCTTTTTTTGAAGAAAGTTATAAATGTATTAACAAACCCTAACTTGTAATTAAAAAATAATAATGAATTGACAGGGCAGTCCCGGAAAATTTACATTGTGAAGAAATACCTGCAGGACTTAGAATTACCAGTACAAAATCAATCAAAGAGCAAGTTTCCAAAGTCAAAAGAGGAAAGGAAGATTATTTTGTTTTTAATTTACCTTATATTTTAACTTTCCCATTAGAAAAATTGTAAAAATAAGAAGTGTTGGTGGTTGAATCAATCTACAAATACAGTATTCTGCAGCTGTACTCCAAAAAGAATTAGAGCAACAGGAACATTTGCAAAAAATACATGAGATCTTATCCATTTTCTGGTGGATCTTATCAGCGCTGAACTTAAATGCCTGTACTGATGCATAGACTGTTTTATGTTATAATCACTGTATTTTTATGCCTTTGCGATAAATCTTATGTAACACATTCCTGTTTAATATGGAACAGCATGTACACTGTTGTGTCAATCTAGGCACTTTTCTTTTTGTCCAGAGAAAACATTGCCCCCTGAGGACTTTTTTAAACTATAGAAGTAAAAAATCTTGATTAGGACAGCCAGAGTATTATGCTTTATAGTCTCCAATTATCTTTTTCCAGTCTACATTCAACTGTCTTTCAACTAGCACAGGCTTTCAGATAACTGGTGATCAATTCTGGCAAAATAGAAATGCCTATTCTGGCTTAGCGTTTAGTGTACGTATCTATTAAGGGGTACCATCTATACCATAAAAAGACAAGACCAGTGAACATTACACCTCTGCCTTCATAATCAGCTTCTTAGAAGCATCCATACTGCCTTTATGATGTTGTAGGATTGCATTACACCAACCACTTGTGCTCCTTCTTTGTCCAAGAAAATCAAATGCATCTACCCTGATTATTTGCCTAGGTAAAGAAAACAAAAATAGGTTGGGAATAAAACAGAGTCTGGCTAAACAAAAGAGAGAGTCTAGCATTAGGTGCACCATTCCCATATTTCTTTAGATGCTGAATATAGTAGCACAAGGGCTAGAACGTTTCTCCAAATTATAAGCCGGGAAGCATTCCTACATCCTGCCTTGAGGACAGGGGTGCAGTCTGTAACTAGCAAATTACAGCAGGCAAAATGCTTTCCGCCTCTGTCTTTCTTTTCAGTGATGCTGAACGAGGAATTATATAACCTGAAATTAGTTCAGGTGCCTGCAGACCAGATGCATCGCCATCAGCCCACAAAACAAAAGCCTACACCTTCGATATCCCTTTCCTTCTGCATACTTTGTTGTTTCTGAAGAAAGCGGAGGGGGGAACATGCCAAAGGAAGAAACCCTGAAAGGGAGGGAGGCAGGGAGGGGGAGAACCACTTACCGCCTCAGAGTCTTCAAATCCATGCAGGTACAAATTGTCATACATGGAGGTCTAATAATCCAAAGAGCCCCTTTTTCAAGGCAAAAAGTAAAACCCTGGCAGCAAACACAGCTGTGACTGAAAAGGCAGGGAAAGGCCCAGCCGGAGCAGCTCGGTCTGCCTTGTCAGTTGTGCTCGTGTGGCTTCCCCCCCCACCCCCCGGCCACGATGCTTTTCATTCACATCCTAGGCGGAGAGGTCATCCTGAGAGGCAACCCAGCGCTGGCATTTTATCTGCCTCTCTGAGACCCAGCAGGAAAGCAAAACCGTTTTCCCCAACCAAAGGCTGATGACAGAGGCAGGAGACAAAACCCTGATTGGCTCCGTCGCTGTGCCTCGTCAACTCACAGACGTCCTCCGTGCGAGGGGATGACAAACATGAGGACTTGTCTCTTCGGAACAGGCATGTGTAGGATCTTGCCTGCAGCTGCTAATAATGATGAAAACAACAATAACACCACCTCGTAATTAATAAGGAAGTTAGGTTGAGAGTGGATAACTGGCCAGCTTTAATGAAGTATGCGGTGACGATTTTCCCATGAGGAAGAGACTTAATTACCATTCTCATCGTTGAGGAAAAAGAGTTCACTTCTTTTCCGAATTTGCTTCATCTGCTTATTTTGAACCGTCTGAGCAATAAAAAAACACCCTTTCCTCAGGATGCAAATTATATTTCAGCCAAAACTCTTAAAACTATTTAACCGACAACAGAAGTATGCAGGGAAACCAAAATTCATTTACAAGACAGTCCACTGCCACTGACCCAGTTTGAATAGCACGCTAAGCTAGCAATCCTAGCTAAATAGCCAGGATATAAACATGCAGCCCATTCACACTTTGCCCAAGCAGAAAAATAGAGAGGCACTGTGGTGTAGTTGTTAAGGGGTTAGGCCTAGACTTGTAAGCCCCAAGTTCAAGTACACTTTCAGCCATGGAAACTCACCCTCAGCCCAACTTATTTCAAAAAGTTTTTGATGTGAGGATAAAATGAAGGGAGATTCCTTTAGAAGTTGCCTTCCACTTTTGGAGAACAGACAGAATACAAAGCTAAATAAATAAATAATAGTGAGCTAGTGGCGTTTGTGGACTTTCCGAATCAGAAGATGCCAGTTCTGTCTTTTCTGACAACAAAGGCATCATCCCGGGAACTCGCAGAATTCTGGCGATAAGGCAGGCCCGTCCACCATAAAAGCTAGAAATCCGCCTAGAAATCAGTATGTGTCACTTATGATACGTGATCAAAGAACTGTGGTCACGTATTTCCAAAAAAGCCAGGATTTATAAGGCAACTTCGGCCCTTGGCTTTCTGATCCTGACTTTTAGGGAGTGATTAAGTTTATTTCCGAAATGACCTATACTGTCATGGCCAAATAGTCATTATCCACGCTGGACCCCAATTTAAATCTCAAACCAACCTTGACAGTCAGAATAAGCACCAACTGCCCGATACAAATGGCAAAGTGGTCTATATTTTCTCAAGGTGCAACATAATCCAACAGATATGCTTGCTTGGATGTAAGTTTGACTGCTTAAAGCGGAGGCAGGATTTTCACGTTACTAATGTGAGGCTTAGATAGAAACTAAAGAGACCTAGAATGGATCATGGCAGAACTTTTGCTCACTTGCTGGAAAAATATCCTGCAACTGATAAGCTCCTGTTTGTTGGCATACTCTTATTTTAATAATTAAAGGAACCTAGTAAGGGTGTGCTCTTGTTCTGGTGCTGTTTTTAATTTGCATTTCAACAAGAACGAACCCTGTCACGCATTGCGTTTAAGCAAGTTAAATCCCTGCCATCCTCCTGCATTATCAGAGGTTAAGATGCCATTTCTCCTTATAAGGACTATGCAGTATGGTGTTCAGAAAACAAAGCAGGGCTGAGGCATGCCTTTGAAACAGCCTCTTTGTTAATAAGAACTATTAAATATAAATTATGATAAAACAAAGATTTCATTCTTTTTCAAAAAATGTCACAAAAGACAGATGGGTCTTGGATGAGGATCCATTACAGAAAGTGGGGACATTTAAGTACTTTGATATCACATTTCAGTCTTCTTTATCTTGATCAGCTTACAAGCTTTTTTCCCCCCCCCCTCCCTTTACAGAATATACCGAGCAATGCCAGGACTATTTAATTTTTAATTTTAATCCCTCCTCCCAAGAGAATAGACTGTTTTTGTTTTTAATTTTACTGCATTTCAGGTCTCTCAAAAAAAAAAAAAAAAAAAATCCTTGCAGCATTCTTAAAGTTACGTCTGATATTGCATGCATTAAAATATAATTAATAAATATATTTTTCTTAATACTGATATTATTTTTTTAAATTCCCATTACACTTTCTATATTCTAAATGTTTATTCCCACAATTATATGAATCAAACGTTTGGTGGGAGCGGGAGATTTTAGGGCCTATACATTATTAAGAAACTTGCTGTTTCTCCTAATACAGACAGTGCAATATATTCCTCTGAGTAAGCATAGGCACAGAGGGATAAATTAAAAGGGCTGGAGCGACACGCAGAGTAACACAAAGTACTGGGGAAGGACATTGGGGATAAAGTTTCCCCCAAGTTTTTAAAATATGATTTAGAAACAGCTATTGTGATACTTGTAATATACCACTTGGGTCTGTAAGCCCTGATTATGAGGCATAGGTTTCATGGAATTACTCCACTCTGATGCTACTTTATTATGCAATATTGTGAATCTTTATTATTTATATTCCTGTCTGTAATAATCAAGGTAACTAAAATGTCTCAGAATCTTGAAAATCATACCTTTGAATTCCAGACCTCCAAAAAATAGGTACAAGTATAAAACATGACCCCCCAGCTTTCAGGGCAGATCTGAGATGACCAGATACCACGGGATGCAATCCAATGATTGAGCTTGCCCAATTTGGAGGCATCCACCTCCTTTTTGCTTCATCACTTTTTTCTATATCTTCGAGGAGTGGGCGGGGGCGTAGGTAGGGACAGGTTTTCAGCTTGCCATAGGACTGAAGGAGAATGCCACACAGGGGCTTAATGCATTTATTCCTGACGCTCTTGTTTGTTGAAAAAAAGAAAAAAATCCTGACACCAAATGTTTGAGTTTGTTACTTAATTCAGGCAGCGTAATCGGTGGGGATTGGATCACAGAAATAAGGCCAGGCCTGGGGGCTACATATCCCTGCTTTACACATAAGATGTGTAATTTTGACCTAAAATGTTATCTGGGTATTATAGTTTGTACACTACGTTTCTACCTAGTAAGCAAGCCATGGCTTAGCCCATTGTATAAACCAGGTCAATGTATCAGGAGGCATTACAGTTGCTCCTACTTACAGCAGTCTGGAGGTGCAAAACAATGAATCACTAAGAGAAATACAACTAACGTCATTCTCCTCTGAGTAATTCTGTTCTAGATCATACTAATCATCACATTCATGGGCATCTTAAGCTAACACAGTGAAATTACTTAGCAAGAAATTTATAGTTAGGTATTAAAACTGGATCTCAGCATCCCTCCATCAAAGAGAAATTAATCTGAACTGGAAGATGTGAGCTTATTCCTTCAATTCAACTCTTAACAGACATATTAAAAAGTGGGGAAGTAGGAGCAGGATACACCGAACTACAGATCACCTAATCTGATATTTGTATTTGAAAAGATTCCAAACCAGATAACAAAGTAATTGATTGATAAACCCTTGGCAATAATGCAATAATTACTTAAAAATCAACATGGATTTGTCAAGAACAAGTCTTTCCAGACTAACCTTACTCATGTTTTATTGGATAACTACCTTAGTAATTACTGGGAAAGCTGCAGACATATCCTGATCTTAGCAAAGCATTTGACAGAGTACCCACTGGCATTCTGGTTAACACGTTTGTTATGTGTGGGTTAGATGGCATGACAATTAAGTGGATACATAACTGACTTGAAAATCATACTCAGAGGGCTCATCAATGGCTCCTCACCAAACCATGGGAAGGTTCAATCATGAGTCTTGTACTTCTCAATGTTTTCCTTGATTTGCATGTTTGCAGATGAAACAAAAATCTGGGTGGGACAGCAGTTGAATTCAGAACAGTTCTGGCATGCTAATAAAGTCAGCTGAAATGACAAAATAATATTTAACAGAAACAAATGTAGTCATGCACCTGGCATTAAAATCAAATTAACAGGCATAGAATGGAATATTCCCAACTTGGCAATACCACTTGTAAAAAAGATCTTGAAGTAAGAGTTGATTACAATCTGAATATGAGTCATCAGTGTGATGTGATTGCAAAATACAATAAGCACAGTTTAGGCTGCATCAGCAGCAATTCATAGGAAGTAATTGCTTCACTTTATGCTGTGTTGGTCATACCCCACCTTAAATACTGTCCCCATTTCTGGGCACCACATTTTAAGAAGGTTTCACTTTTTTCCCCCTCTGTTCCAAAGACTGGGAGACAAAATAATAGATTTAAGTTAAAAGAAGGCAGATTTCAAATGAAAGTTGCAAAAAAAAAAAAAAATCTGGCTAGTGAATTCTGGGAGTTGAAGTCCACACATCTTAAAGCTACCAAGGTTGAGAATTACTGGACTAGTCAGTCATTTATCAAAGATACTTTCATTTGGATTCCTGCGATGAGTAAAGATTGTACTTGACAGCCTAAATGGTCCCTTCCAATTCTATGCAGTGATAGAAAGACAATCAATCATTATTTTAGTGAATTAATAGTAAATTTAGGAGGAGAAATAGTATTGTGGTAAATATTAAGTAAAACAGTTCTAATAAGCATAAATGACTAATACAATCTGTGGGTGATACAAATTTTTATGGCATACTGTATAGCATTTCACAGACAGGAGAACTTGTTAAACAATCCTGGCACAGCATTCTCTACTTCCTTTTACTGGAGACAATAGGCAACCTGCACTTCAGAAAATTACAATAGTTGATATAAACATGGCATTTTGGGGATAGGTCAGGGTGTCTATGTATTTCCAGAACTCACACTCTTCTAATTGCTCCAATATGCCCACAAAAGCAAGCTAGTGCCAGTTCTGAAGCTGGCACAAGAGTTCCTTCCCACTGAACACCTTTCTCCTATGGAGGTGTTGACACACTTTCACAGAATCCTCACCATACACACATACATAAACACACTCAAGTTTAGGGATGCTCTACTTGTGATTCTAATTCCGACTATGCATAAAGTCACTTTTAAATGAGAAGGGGCATACCCT